TCTCAGCTGTAATTAAAGAACTACGCAAGTTACTCGGCATCCACAAACCTCAAATGACACCTTTACATCCCCAGTCCGTTACCCCTCTGCTTAAAAGCCTATCGCAGCGCTGTCCACGAAACTACCAGCCATTCCCTATCCTGGATGCTCTTCGGTCGTGGCCTTCGTCTGCCTTGTGATCTGTTGTTTGGCCGCCCTCCTAATGCCCCTTATCACCCAAAGAGAACATTCGTCAACTCGGCACAAGATGTGTTTATGGAATCGGATTCGACGAACGGACTGTGTCCTAAACTACATACCTAAAACTATATAAGATCCTCCCTGGGACGGTCCTTACACGATCCTAAACAGGCTAAACGACGTCGTAGTACGGATCTGTAAGTCATTAAATTCTAAGCCTAAAGTCTTTTATTACGATAGGCTATCCCTTAACTATGGCCACACTATGTAATCTCCATAGTGTATATAATGTAAATAATACACTAAGACCATGGTCCTATTTGCATACAAAACTGTAAATTTATACATTTATTTACTAATTTAATGTTTTATTTGTTGTGTGTTATTTATTGAAATTATCATAGCACTGATTTTTCCTTAGTTGTAAGTATGACTTCCTGTCCAGGGATTGTACTGCCCGGGACGTGCAGTCTTGGGAAAGGAGGCAATGCTAACAATTTTTGCATATAATTTTAAAGAAGTTACAGTTATAATATATTTTACATGAAATTCTGAAGAGTGGAAGCTCTGCCAGAAAAATAAGATTACATGGGCAAGTCTGTTTAACATTGAAGTCAATGGATATCGCACTAAACGGGCAAGATATCGCCCAGCTGGCGAAGGATTTGGCGACTAATTTTTGTTGCCAAATTTGGCGAGAAACCACTAAAAGTAACCAAGTTTGGCGACATTCGGTCTCGTCCCTGTATAACTTATTGATACTATTGTAAGGATCTTAAGTTTTACTAACGTTTATTTTATTTTAAATCTTTACTATCACTTCTTATTTTCTACTTCCGGCCAGAATTAAAAGCTTTAACTTATTTATGCAAATTTGTCTGGCGAACGCCAAGTACTTAAGTTGTGGCTTTTTGCCAAGCAAGAGAGAGGAAGGAGTTAGTAGAAGCAGGCCGCTTGCCTTAGCAGTTTTTACTCGGTTGCTGGTTGCCTTCCAGGCCAGAGGTTTAATCCTCTTAATAATTTTAAACGTATTGTAGTGTTAACAGTTCTCTGTACTACATACGGCTTCCTGTTAATATACGGCCAATCTTCCACGTAGGCCCTTGTTAGTTACTCCAAAGTTAAGTTAGAGTTTAGTTAATATTTTTATATTCTTACGTTCAGACCACAAGTGGTTGCTCTCTGTATTCCGAAGTCCGGAAATCATTGTAAAGAGTGAAAAATAAAGGGTTTCGTATACCCTTCCTATGTATCTTGTCTACTTCCCACATTTATTGAACATAGCTTTAGTAAGCTCCCTGTTCCGAGTCAGGTTCTTGAATGTTCCCAAAGCAAGTAAGGCGGAACATTGAACCTGATAAAACAAACTCTTAAAACAACAACAAACTAACTTTTATTGATTCAGAAGTCAAACAACAAAAATCAGCGTTATACCTACAAAATTTTCACAGTGAAATTTTGTAGGTATGTGTTTGTAGGCTGTGAAAATTTTGTAGGTATAACGCTGATTTTTGTTGTTTGACTTCTGAATTAGTATTTATTCGGCGTGTTATTGTGTCTTAATTAACTTTTATTGTTTAACTATTATTATTAACTTTTATTGTTATTTATTTTTACGAATTGAGAGGATTTCCTCCTATTTATATGATTTTAAAATCGCGCGCGAGAATTTTCTAGTACTTTCTCGAAATCAAAAAGAGATATTTATTAAATGTTACATGCACGCGCTCTTATATTTTCAATTTTCCGACTTAGCTTTCTTTTAATATTCGTCACGCGCTGCTGGGAAATGAAACCATTTAATTTACAATTCAACTAACATTAGCTATTTAAATACCAAATCCGTAACACTGCCCCTTCCCAAGGACTGCACGTCACGGGCAGTACAATCCCTGGACAGGAAGCCAAACTTACAACTGTGGCATAAATACAATAAACAACATAAATACTAAATGCAATAACTAACTTAAACAAATCAAAGGCTAAGTACAAGTCAAATCAAATACTAAATACAAGTCAAATCAAATACTAAATACAAGTCAAATCAAATACAAAATACAAAACAAATACTAAATACACATTTAGAAACAAAAAGGACCATGGTCTTACACTATTTACAATTGTTTACATTGCGTACTATGGCCATAGTAATGAGCTAACCTGTCGTAACGAACGGCTTTAGGTTTAGAGTTCTAGAGTTCGAAGACTTACGGATCCGAACCACGACGTCATTCAGCCTGTTTAGGACTGTGTACGGACCATCCCAAGATGACTGTAATTTCGGACAGAGTCCCTTCCGTCGAGTCGGATTTCACAACCAAACCTTGTCTCCATCGTGGAATTGATATTCAGTAGCTCTTGTGTCGTATCGGGTCTTCATCTTCTCCGTCGCCAAGTTGTCTCGCTCTCGTGAAAAGTTGGGCATCACTTTAAACCGGACCTGCAGATCTTGAATATATTCCTCAGGCGATGAAGGAGCATCCGGAGGACGACCAAACAAGAGATCACAAGGCAGACGAAGGTCACGATCGAAGAGCGACTGTGATGGGGAATAGTCTCATGGACAGCACTGCGGTAAGCCAGTAAAAACAGTGGTAATTTCTTGTCCCAGTCCTGTTGGTTTCTGGAAACCACTAATGAGAGGTTATTAAGGATGATTCGATTGAATTTCTCTACCATGCCGTCTGACTGGGGATGTAATGGCGTCGTTTGGGTTTTGTCAATGCCGAGTAGTTTGCAGAGTTCTTTGGTTACTGCCGACGTAAAATTCCTTCCTTGATATCAACTAGGACCCTTTAAGATATCAACAAGGAGAAATCTATGATGCTCTCTTTGTAATATCCGAAGATGAATGCTTTTCAAACGAAATGCAACATGAAGCACGAAGTCTGTGTACCAAAATCAAGGATTATAAATTTATTTGTTCCTTGATAGTTTGGCACGATTTGCTTAACAGAATTAATCCTGTCAGCAAACAATTGCAAGAAAAGGATTTGAGTGTTACACTAGCCTTAAAGGCAATAAGTAACTTAAATACATTCATTGAAGAATATAGAAGTGATATCAATTACAAAAGTATTCTTGAGAAAGCCAAAGAACTTAGTGAAGAAGTGGATGGCGAGCTACAATTTAAAACTGTTGAAGAAGTCCGAAGAAGGAAAAAGAAATGTCATTTCGATTACGAACATGCTGACGAATTTCCTCAATGTCCAGAAGAGAAGTTTAGGGCAAATGTCTTTTTTAGAATTTTGGATACTGCTTGGACATCATTAAACGAAAGATTTGATTCAATGAAAAATCACTGCGATAATTTTAGTTTCCTGGGTAATTTATCAGAAATCGATAACGCAAATTTGAAAATAAAATGTGAAAAATTAGAAAAATTGTTACAGTGTGGTGACAATAAAGATATTAACGCAGAAGAACTCTATGACGAAATAGTAGCTTCGAAAGACATTTTTACAGCTGGTATGAATGACTCATTCGATATTTTGAACTTAATTGTGTCAAATAATATGTGCTTCCTGAACTTGAAGATCGTACTGAGAATACTACTTAGCATTTCTGTTAGTGTTGCTAGTAGCGAAAGATCATTCTCCAAATTAAAATTGATCAAGACATATTTACGTTCAAGTATATCGCAGGAAAGACTCATATATTTAGCTTTGATTGCCATTGAAAATGAAATCTGTTAAGAACTAGATGCGAAAGAAATGATAGAAAAATTTGTAAATATGAAATGCAGAAAAATAAATTATTCTCAATAAATTATTAAAATCAATTTCAACAAATGCTTTCTTCAAAACTTCCTTCTCCTATACAAAAATTTAGAAAAAGGGGGGGGGCGACTTCAGGTATTTTGCAGGCGGGCGCCGGATAACCTTGCGCCGGCGCTGGTTTCAAATTTTATCGCCCTTAAGCAATATCGCTCCTGTTACACGGGCTCAGGGGCGGTCCTACAGAAACTTGAAGCACTATCAGTAAAACGGGGTGGACATACTATGTATGGAGCCCGGCATCTTGTTCTTCGTTTCGGAAGTGGTAGAGCCGCTGAATATTCGTAGTTCATCCCGAGTTGAGTTGTGTTAAATGTGATCTACGCAGAGCCGCTCTGACGGCCAAGCTAAATAGACTTCTAAACTGACGTGTTGTATTTGTGGTTTAACTCATGCGGCAAATTATAAGAAATGTTTAAAAAAAAAAAAAAAAAAAAAAAAAAAACTCTTAAACCAAAATCCTACGACAAGCCCAAGTTGACCTAGGTGGCTGAGCCTCAGTCACTTAGCGAAGATGTAAGTTCAGTTATTCAAGAAAAATTTATCACGGACTCGAGCAGATCCACCTAAATTTGCGTAAATTCGTAGAAAATACTGATAAACACTTCAGAAACTCTATTGGAAATAAGAAAAATACTAAAAATTAAAATCTCCAAGAAAAGATTCCATCTAATCCTATTAACGCTTCTATAAAACCCAAAGCAAATGGAAGACATTCTAAACGTAATTCTTACAGCATCTCCTCTGCATTAGAAATATAATCAAGAAAATTAACAATATCACCATTCGAAAGGACATCAGGAGAACGGATTAGAAACAGTTTTCGTGTTTTTCTCACATGTAGGATGAATACGAATTAGTTTTCCCCAGAATGACTTAAAATGAAGACTTACCTACATTTCAGTTAGATCTCGCATGCTTCATTGCAACTGAAACCAACCAAACCTTTTTTCTCTTGATTATCTGCTAACATAGCTTACAAATATTCTTTCGATAAATGACAATTTAGAAAAGAATAATAAAATGCTTCTTAAAAGTACTTACCAATGAATTAACTGGATACATGAGATCTTTTCCTGTGTGGTTTGTTTTCAAGAAACCACACGAGGAGGTTGACTACAGTACACAATAAACCAAAATCCTCTCGTCAGACGCATTCATTTGCAAAAAAGAGTTTCTGCAATCAGATGCGAAGACCATACACTATCTGCAGAAAGAAGCAACGTCTTATTACAGTGTTAGAATAATTGTAAAAAAAAATTATTTTAATAGTTACACTTTCCTGCTGTGAGGGGTTATTAGCACAAAGGGGACTTTTAGTCTCGAAATGAGATTTTGATCGGTTCACTATAAACGGCATATCGCTTTTCAAGTTGTTGCCAGTTAATATTATCGCCCGGTATTATTTTTAAAGAAATTAAATAATGAAGAATCTGTGTCTATGTGTATATTTTACCCGAATTATGAAAAACAATGGTACCAAAATCCATCAAATTTTGAAGCACGTAGTCTTCCATCCGAACATATGCACCTGGAAGACCGAATTTTGACTTGAATTTTGAATTTGACGAATTTTTTTTATTATTTATTTCAGTTTTTGGAAAATTTTAATGAATTTTTTATTAAGAAACTTAACGATTTGAAAGCGAGCAGTGAAAACACTGTACAAAATAAAACGTTTTTATCTCCTGCACGCGAGATTATCTATTGGGAATTCTAAAGATATGCTGTTTTTAAATATTTTGTAAGTTTGCTGTTGAACTGAATTTTATGTCGCGTAAGTACGAAAAATATGATATTTAATAAATAAAGTAACATAAAAAATTAAAAATAAAAAGACAAATCTTTTTTTTTTTTTTGTTAGATCGCACTAAGAAAACTTAGTATTTATTATAAACCAAGAAAAAAATATAAAAATGTATGCCAGTACTTAACAGTGCACCGGGAATTCTAAACATATGCTGCTATGCAGTTTTTAAAAATTTTATTAATGTTAACGCTAAAAAGCTAAAAAAAAAAAAGAAAAAAGAAAAAAGAAAAAAGAAAAGAGTGGGTTAGCAGGAATGAGTACAAAGTACAACAGCAGACTGGTAGATTGCAAGCTCAGCGAAAGCGTAAAAGAAAACCTTGACAAACTCTTTGGGAGACCGTTAAAATCTGAAATCTATCAGTGGTTTTTTTTTTTTTTTCCCAGATTTGTCTAGACATTCATGTATAAAATTTGTAAACATCAAATTAGTGTAGAAAATATTTCATTATCAATCTATCTGAATTTGATTCTCTTGATTGTCATTTCTAAGTACTTCTTTTGCTGAAAACGAATTGTTTGTCTTGAAAAGGCGAATGGCTTATAAAAGCTTTAGTTGCTTAACGGACACACTTCAGGGCAAAAATTATCATATAAGGAATATCATCGGTTTAGAAAACATAAAATGAAAACAATATTAATCAGTGAACTTTCATTCATTTATTAGCGAATTTCATTGCAGCACGAGATTTTACTTGCTTCAAATTTTAAAAATTCTTTTTGTTACTCAATATTTCCTTGTTGCCAAATAGTCATGAATGAGATCTAAAATATACAGTTGTCAATAATAACCAACTTTATTTTCTCTCTACCTTTCTCTTTCTCTCTATGTATGTAAGATAAAAATATGAAAGCAAACTTCTAATATTAATTCGCAATAACCCCTTTTATTCTTTATTTTAATTTCGGTACTTCCCCTGTCTGCCCTAAAAATAGTAACTATTTATAATACATCAATGGAAACTGCATCATTTCAAAGTTAATCCGCATCGTACTATCCTAGGTAACACTTATGTAACTATCTCATATAACTGTCTTATGAACCAATCAATCACTGAATAAGATTTCTGCTGAAACCAAAAATTCTTTTCTCTCACTTCTACGTTTTTGTTTTGAATGGGCACTTTGCTTCTTATCTGCATCAAAGAAACACGTCGCCGCTCACTTCGCTGTATTGTCCATTGTCTGAAGATGTCCTACGCTATCAACAATGTCGAATGTATATTGCGCACATAATGACGTGAATCACATTATGCGTCTTAAGAATTAGCTTTACCCAATAATAAAATTATGCTACGTCTGTTTGTAAGTGTTGTTGAGGCTTGAACTTATGCAGAAACTTTAAATACTGATCAATATCGTTTTATTTGTTTTTTGTTGTTTTGAGAATGGCTACAAAATGATTATTCATTTTTTTTTTTTTTGTCTTAGAATGGCAACAAAAGGCTACTGATGTTGTTATTCTAAGAATTGTTTACATTTGCTAAAACGATAATAAAGATTATTTTTAATTTAAAATGTAGATTAACGTTATTTGAAGAAACGGATGGTACTTTTTCGCCGGCACAAATGTCGCCAAGCACAACATACAGTATACACATAAAAAATGTTAACAAATGTTAGTTCTAAGATTTTTTTATTTTGAAGGCATAAACATTTTAATACCGTTTAAAATTTTGTAAAAAGGCAATAAATTTGTAAAAAGACATTAATTTAAGAATTTATTATCCTTTTATGGTTCAGCATCCTGATTCGGCGGTTCATATCACGTGATCCCAAGTGATCTCATCTCACGCAGACTACGCTACAAAAATCTAATTCTCTCAGTAATTATCTACATTAATTTCAAGTTAAATCTAGATTTGGAATGCAAGTTTAAATGCAAGAATTATTTCAATTCGTACGAATAGCTTACTCAAAAATTATGTAAAACCGCAGTGCTTTACTTCGCTAGTGCATTCTCATTAGAATTGATGAATTTAACCCTTGACTTTGCCTTTTCTATATTTTCGCCTTCGATTGAGCGGTGTGATTGCATCCTAATTGACTTAATTACCGCGAATAGCCTTAGGTCATAAAATTGAACTATCTGGTAAAAATTCTATCTAATTGTATGCAATATTGAAAGAAACAATCAATCTGATAAGAAATTACTGCGACTTCTTTTGAAAACGAAGCTTAAAAGGTTACCAGCTAAGATATTCCGTTTGGCATCAGTTGTACCATTATTGGTGACTTTATCGGCTGCGCCGGCAAAACGAAAAAGTACCAAACTGATTTCTAATTATAAAAATTAATTTGGAGTCAGGAACCAATAGTGTCACCATTCCATCTGCACAATAAATCTCTCCAACTATTACACATACACACATACACATATGCAAATACTAGGAATTTTATTTCGATTTCAATGAATTTCAATTAATTCAATCTCTTTCTCTCTCTAGCCCACCAGCGGCCGAGCCGTAAAGTCGCTGAACACTGGTAGTTCGGTTCGAGACGGGCTGGCTGCATGGTCGTTTTCGTGGCTTTTCCCATGTGTAACGTTATTTGAAGAAACGGATGGTACTTTTTCGCCGGCACAAATGTCGCCAAGCACAACATACAGTATACACATAAAAAATGTTAACAAATGTTAGTTCTAAGATTTTTTTATTTTGAAGGCATAAACATTTTAATACCGTTTAAAATTTTGTAAAAAGGCAATAAATTTGTAAAAAGACATTAATTTAAGAATTTATTATCCTTTTATGGTTCAGCATAAAAGCCAGTTCCCTTAGAAAGTCCTCCACGAAGGCATCCCTCCCTTTAGGCAGATAGCCCTCGAGGCTTTGCCAGAATCACATACACTCTCTGTATATATATACACATATAAATACATACACACACACACATATATATTGTTTCAAAAGAATAATCATTTCTTTATAATTCAATTTCATTTAAAATTTAATAAACTTTAAATTTGCTTTTTATGAATAGAGAATGCTTGTTAAATTCAAATATATAATATACTAGAACGGCCAGCGGTCATACGAAATGACCGCTGTTCTAGATATTATAAATTGTAATTAAAATGATTTGTGCAAAGGTGTCTGCTTATTTAACTGAATTACCCAGGGCAGGCGGCGAGGACGCCCCTTTGCTTACTGCCCCACGGGGTTTCCACGGGGTTCTTCTACTTGCTTAATTGCTCAAAGTAGAGTGCAATGAGGGAAATCACTGGCGGTACATTTCTTAAGAGCCACCGCTAGCTCAATCAATAAAGGTGATTTAAATAATGAAATGTTAATTCACATATCAAAGATCTCTTTGTACACAACATTTCATGTGTATATCTTTCCATCATTTTTAAGCTCGCCTTGCAGAGGACCATCCATTATTTTTAATTTTACGTCCGTTCTTTCACGAAATCTTGAACAGACAACATAAGGTTGACCGTGTTCAAATGCAGGCTCAGGTAAAAAAATGCCAATACGCTTAAGCGTTTGGCCCTGAGACTTATGGATGGTCATAGCAAAGGCAAATTTTACAGGAAATTGTCTACATCTCAATTGAAACGGCAACCCTGTGCCGTGGCAACTTCACCCCATTGGCTAGTACAGTTACGCAAGCAACCAATAAACTATCGGCGACAAACAGACACTTAAGCCGCAGATATATATATATATATATATATATATATCTGCGGAGCACACCGTTGGATTCCGCAGGTCCGTGGCACGCCATTTTGACCATCCATTCGCGTCTTCTTGAGACTTTAATTAGCCGACATATTAAAAACTTATTTTTCCCTACGTTTTTCCTACATTCTCCACTTTCTTGGGTTTTTCCTACTAGAGGGATTAGGCTATGTGCCAAATTTTTTGTTCTCGAATATCTATGGAACGGCACCGAATTGAAATTCGAGATGCGTATCCTCGGATTCCAAAAAATTCTCCGAATCCATTGATACCGTTCTCATCTTCGTACAACTTTAATCAGCCGAGATATTAATTAAAAACTGCGGAAACGCTAATTTCCGCGCTAATTTTTCCGAGTGGCAACAGTAAACTATTGGCGACACACACTTTAGCCGCTTATATATATAAAGATATATATAATTTATTTGCTAAAGTAATATTGATTATATTATCTTATATTATCTCATATAAAGTTTGTAGAATGTACATTAATGAAGTAATCCAGAAAGCATTGAAATTTAATCTCGAAAATAATACTTTTAAAGAAACTCGAATTTAAATCATGAAGAATAGAAATAGAAACTTTTAAAATGAAAATTAATAAACCTAGTAATTTCGATGCTTCTGGGTTACTTCATTCAGATGCATTCTAATAACTTTATATTAGGAGATAATATAACCAATATTACTTTAGTAAATACACTATTATTATCTTAC